CGTGGTGGCCGGGGGCTGCCTGCTCAGCACACAGGCCACCAGCGTCCCCTTCCTCTGCATCTCCATGGGACTCCTCCTGGGTGAGCAGCCTGCGACTCGGGCACTGATTTCCCTGGGCACCATGAGTAAAACCAGCTCCTTCAACATTACACCGGGCAGTTCCTTTACTACTAGAGCATCCCCAGCTCCTTCCCATGGGATGTTGTGTGAAATCCCAAAGCTTCGTGCTCAGGAGCATAAAACACCACTTTCAACACACTAATCTCAACTAACCTTGATTTTTTTCTGGACCCAGCATGTATCCTGGCCTTTTAAACCCCTTACTAACAGTGCACAGCCTCAATACCCCCATATGCTAAATACCACACACGAAACCTTGTTCTCCACTGACTGCACCAGCAGAAGTCCCCCACTTTCAGCCTATGAACCCTCCACTCTGCAGACAATGACCGTGGGATGTTGTGACATTGAATCCCTAAATGTCATGATATAAAAAGTCAATTTTGGGGCATGAACAGCTCATTTCTGCCCCTCACCACAGGTATGGGCTTCGCCTGCCTCTACCAGGCAGCCGCAGTGATGACGGCCAAGCGCTGCAGGACACGGCTGGCCTTCTCCAACGCCATCGCCCGCTCTGGGATGGGACTGACGTTCCTCATAGCACCATTCACTCAGCTTCTCATCGATTTTTATGGCTGGCAAGGTGAGCCCAGCTCCCATTTCTTCTAATTCATCAGCATTAGGAGGGCGTTTGAGGATATCTCAGCATTAAGAGGGAGTCTGAGGATATCTGGGCAGGGTTAGAGGCTCTTTCGAAAACTTAGAATTGGATGCACTGAGGAACAGCTCTTCTAGGATAGTTTGGGGACATCCTGGTAATGCTTAAACACTTAAATCAGTCATTAAAGTCAAGGCAGAGTCAAACCAGACACCTCAGAAACCAAAACCAGAACTGAAAATCCTGACTTTTAGTACAGTTTCAGGCCACCTTGAAGGTCCATCACATGTGATGGGCTTCTAATGAGGGAAAACAAACCAAGCTCCCAGATCCCAGAGGTGGCTCTGGATTTGTTGTGTGCATCACAGCAAAAGGGACTTCCAGCTGGCAAAAACCAGGATTCAAAGCTTTTGGGGATACCTCCTCCTTACAGCAGAGCTTTCTCCATGTTCAATGCACACTACACCCTTTCTAAAAGATCATTCCCTACCGTGCTCCTCCCTTCCCATGCCAAGGAAAATAAATAGCATCTTCTGCCTTCCCTCAGGTACTCTCCTGATTTTTGGAGGCATCATGTTAAACCTCGTGCCCTCCAGCATGCTCCTGCGCCCCGTCAGCACCCAGCCACCTCGACGCCCCCCTGCTCAAAGTCAAGACCATGGTGGCTCTTCAACAGCAAAGAAGGATTCAGAAACCCCTGATGGATGCTTAGATGAAAGCACTCACAAGGAAATACAGCTTCACAGCACACGGGACCTTCCCACCACAGAGGGATTCACGATGTCCCATGGCAGAGATGTCCCTGCTCCTGTAAATACTTTGGAAAGGGTCAAGAAGCCCACCACGAGCTCAGCAGAAACAGGCACCGGGGCCAAGAGTAGCTACAAAGCCCATCCAGGGACCCAAACAGAAAATGCACAGCCTCTCCTCGACTTCTCCCCACTGAAGGATCCCATCTTCTACATTTTCACATGGTCTTTTCTGTTCTGCCACTTGGCCTATTTCGTGCCCACCTTCCACTTGGTAGCAAGAGCCAGGACGCTGGGCATAAGCAGCATGGATGCCTCCTACCTCATTTCAGTGGCTGGTAGGCAAAAAGAATCTTTTAAAGCCATTTATAATTACAATGATGCTCAAATTGGAAAGAGAAGCAACACAAAGCTTGCCAAGAAATAGTCCCAAATATGGCCCAGAATGAATCTTCAGCCTGTACCCCCCCTTCTGCAAATATAACGGCGCCTTCTGTACATGTACCAAGTCGCTCTCACATGGTGGGTGGTTCTCTCAGCCTAAGCTAGATGATCCCCCACCCCCGCTGCACGGAACAAACACCAGTTTCCAAATACATACGTGCTATCTGTCCTCCTAAAGCCTTCCCACCACCATCCCTGCTTTGCCTAAACCCACAAGCCACAGAAATCCAGAGCCATGCAGCATTCCAAGACCTCAAGTTTGACCCAGGAATGTGTGCAGAGAGAAAAAAGCAGTATTAGGGGGGAAAAAAACAACATTAACTTGGATTTAACTAGTTGAATTTGGCACATTGGCGTCTAAGGGGGGAAAAACAACCCAACCCCCCCCAAAGTACCCCAAATGTGCCTAATTGTAAGTAGAGATTAACATTAAAGTTACACTCGGTTAAGAAAGCAGCTCCAACCTCAGTCATTGTAAAGGTTTTTATTGTACAAAAATAAACTTCTGTATCATATTTAGAAATGACATATGCTGTCAAGGCATCTAGAAGGAGAAGGCAGCAATTAATGTGACATATGGATTAAGAGTGGTCAGCAAGCTATTAGCTGGCACTGAGCACTCCTCTGATCTTCAGTCCATAAGCAAATGGAGCAAGAGATGTAAAAACCAAGTTATCAAAAGTCTGCTGAGCCTTTCAAAAAGGCTGGGTTCTGTCCTTCTTTGCTTCCTTATAGATATTACCATCTCATAAGCATCTTTCTTCTTAATATTCAGCTTTTATTCCATCTCGAAAGAGAGCTCAAAGAGCAAGCTTCTCTTTCCTGGTTTTACTAAAGGGCATTGCAGAGTCTGCCACTGAGTGCACAGCCCTTAATTGAATTCTTACAGACCACTCTGGTGCACCCACAGGCACTTGGCAGTAGCAGGCACCAAGGCAAAGGGGAAAAACAACCCCCTCAAACATTAATTTTACATCAGCCTAAAATCACCTTCCTGTAACTTCCCAGCATTCCAGCCCTTTGCGGTCACACTCCTGCAGCAAGCGGGTGGGGTTGGGATGGGGTTTAGTGCAAAACAGCAAACTAAAGACTAACTAAAGTCTTCTTTGAGGCTCTGGTGGACTCCTCTTCCCCACAGGCATCACGGAGGTGGGCAGCCAGCTCCTCTCAGGCTGGGTGGCCGACAAGAACTGGACCAAGAAGTACCACTACCACGCGGCTTACCTTGTCCTCAGCGGCATCACGAACCTGCTCTGTCCTCTGGCCACCACCTTCCCGTTGCTCATGACCTATGTGGTGGCCTTTGCTGTTTTCTGCGGTGGGTTCATGGCTCTGGTCCTCCCTGTGCTGGTGAGTAGGATGTTCTGTTAATAAACATCAGACGTGGCACTTCCAACAGTATTCCCAATCATCCCAAAGCCCTTCCATAAAGCTGCATTAGCCAGACCTTCCCGAGAGGGCTCTCCCCAGTTGGAGCCCCAAATTGCTTCTCCACCCCACTTACTAGTATCCACAGCCCAAATGTAACAGGAACACTGGGAATTGATTCCAGATTTGTAAGGACCTGGCTCTAATTGCCTTCCACATCCTCCTTTCTAAGGGAGACCACCCCACCTTACAGGTATGGGGATGAATCCATTCATTTCTGAATGCTAATACAGGGTTGTGCACATCCACTCCCAATCCCAGAATGATCTATAACACACACAGAGCAGTCACACGGGATCTGGATATGGAGGTATCATTATCATTTGGCATTTCTTTCTGGGGTGAATTCAGAGTTTAAAACACCTTCCTCATAGTCGTAGCAGCGTTACTAGTTTCAGGAGGTGCCCAAGCAGCTGGAAGGCAGAAAAGCATCTCCCATCCTAGTAATTTCCATGCTGGCCTTAAGGAGGCGAGCGGATTCCAGGCTGGATCAGACCTAGAGGTGCAAAGTCCTTTCAAAACTGCAGCTGAAGAGGATGCTCCCCAGTAAAAATAGTAATAATAACAAAATCATTTCTTGTGCTTTCACACATTGAGTCATTTGAAGTCAGTAATTACCCATTTTGGTTTACAAACAGGTGGATCTTGTGGGAGTGCAAAACCTCCACAGCTACTTGGGGTTTGCTGCCTTCTTTGCTGGGATAGCAGCAGTTGGAGGACCTCCTCTAGCAGGTAACTCTTATGTTATGTATAATTATACCCACCACAGACACCCCGTGGTACAACACGCTGGTGGTTCACTCTCCTGCCCGTGTGCATCCAAGGATGGTTCTTCTGTCTGAGTGGGGGAGGGAAAAACAACCATATATCAGGTATTTCTCTCTATACACATATTCCACTCAGGAATTTGCAAAACCCAACTAGTTTAGCAAAAAGCTGCATGGAAAAAGGGCAGCTTAATCCACACACACCCACCCCACCATCACCATCACATTCTACCACAGCACATTCCCAGGGATCTTACCCCCAACGGAGCATTATAACCCTGAACTTGGAACAGAGGGACTGGAGGAGAGGAAGGCAGAGCAAGGACAGGCTCAGCAGCAGCCCCATCAAGCAGAGGCACTGAAACCGAAGCAGAAGTCTCTGTAATCTCATTTTGACGATTACACAGCTCAGCCACAGGAGCTCCTGGGCCCAAAGATAAGGCGGATGAAAAGCTTTTCCTTTCTCTCTCTGCCAGAAAACCGAGGCAGTTCTGAGAATCTGGCAGATTTCAAGTGCTTAGAAGTGAGGCTCCAGGTTCTGCTGACAAGCAAGGCATTTGTTCCCCTCCAAACATCTTGGCCAGGACCAAAGCTTTTCCTTTCCCTGATGACCCTTTAGCCATACCTCGTCGCTGGAAACAGCATCTGAGCTCTTCCGAGGTCCTCATGATGCAAAGAAACTAGGACAAGCTGCAAGGTCAAACAGCAGGGTGAATGATGTCCTGTCACTCACCCAGCAAATGTATCCTGGATAGAACCTGGCAACTTGGTCTTCATTTATTGCTTCCTGCCCCCTGCGATCAGCTGCCTCCGGCCTGCAGCGGCACTTTGCTCAAAGCAGCCCAGGAGTCTGTAAATCCCAGCTCCATGCAGAGGTTTAACAACGCTGCTCTATCATAAGCATGTGAAAAAACCACCAAATTGATTTCCCCAATCAATATTTCTAGGTTGGTAAAACTCGATGTGGATGCAATTTCAAGCAACTAAAGTGTTTCACTGACAGCACGCTTTACACTGTCACAGTGATCCATAGCCTCTATTGGAGCTCTCTTCCACTGATACAAGATGTATGTCCACCCAAAAGCAATCCCTGTGTAACCATCACAGTAAATCCCCTGACACAGTAACATACAGCATAAAAAGAGGTAAATAACTGGGCTCTCTCTTATCCATGCATCACACATGCTGACATAGTGGTTACACTTTCATCCGCTTCCAATATATTTGCACTAATTGGAAGTCTTTTGCCTTCTGAAAGTGCCAACCACTCACCCTGCGAACACCCTGTCTGCATTTTGTAAAGCAAGCAGGTTTCCTGCAAAAAGCCTTCCAGAGAAATCAGTCTTCTTGATATTGGTGGGATAAATAAAGGCCACATAAAGCCAAGAAGAAAAACTCTCGCTGCTCCATCTCCCTGCAGGCAGAGCAAGAGGGAACCAATTCAGAGCTCAGGATCTAGGGTTGTGATCCAAGAGAAATGCTGCAATTTTCTCTTCCACTACAGTATTAAGTGTGAAAAGTGACTATGACCAGAAGCTGCTAACTAGAAGTGTCCAAAAGCACCTGCTCCTTGCAGGATACAAACAGGATATAAATGCTATGCGGGACCATGGGGTTTAGTGCCCCTGATGGCTGCTGCCCTCCCTAAAACCTTCCTTTTAGCATTACAATGTTCTAAAACTCAAGTATTTTTACACAGTGAAACCCAAGGCATCATGAGAACCACCAAGGTTAAAAATGCTTATTTTGCACGCTAGAACAAAGCCTGATCACATGCAACCAAAAGGTGACTTACCTGCAAATCTGTTTAACTACAAGCCCTTAAATCCAGAGGCAGCCTGACGAAAAGCCCAGGGTGAAGAGTTTGAAGGTTCCATCACAGCTCCTCACCCACCAGCACTGCTGGGTACTTCTGCCCTGCTGAAAAACCCCAAACCAAACCAGAACAAGACAGAACAAACATTACTTTGGCAGCCACAAGCAAGCTAAGGAGAGAAGAGTACGTTTTATTTCTGTAAAGCAGCATAAATCAGTAAGTCAAACTGAAAAAGAAATAAACCAAACCCTGTCATCCACAATTACAAACCAGATTCCAGCATCCAGCACACAACCACCAGCCCCAGCAAATCTGGGTGGTGAAAGGGGATGGAGTCATTTGAAAGCTGTGCTGGCACGTGAATTGGGATGCTCTCATCTCAATTTTACCTGCACCTTCACACCAGGTATTGCTGCTTAGAAATAAACAAAGCTTCTGATTACAAAGCAGCAGCACAATTTAAACACAGAACCCCAGAGTGGTTTGGGTTGGAAGGGACCTTCAAGCTCATCCAGTTCCAACCCCCTGCCACGGGCAGGGACACCTTCCACTGGAGCAGGTTGCTCCAAGCCCCTGTGTCCAACCTGGCCTTGAACACTGCCAGGGATGGGGCATCCAAACTTTCTCCATTCAACCAATTCCAGTGTCCCACCACCCTCACAGGGAAGAACTTCTGCCTCAGAGCTCATCTCAATCTTCCTCTGGCAGGTTAAAGCCATTCCCCTTGTCCTGTCCCTACAGGCCCTTGTCCAAAGCCCCTCTCCAGGTTTCCTGTAGCCCCCTTAGATATTGGAAGACAAAACTGCTGCTTTGCTGGAGTTTGCCACCATGAGCTCCTAATTCAGCTTCCTCCAGCAAGAATGATTTTCTTATTTGGATGAGGAATGAGGGCACAGGCACCAGAGGTACCTTGAAAGTCTGGGATGTGATGTGGAAGGTGATCACTGTGAGGCGATCATTGTGTGGTGAGGAGACAAAGCTGGTCTTTCAATACCCCCCCCAAAATACTCCAAATTTAAAACCATCCTGAAAGATACTTAAAACCAATTTAAATAAATCAGAACTCAGCTGGAGCATTGTCCTGCACACCTTACAAATGACTATGTTAGTAACATAGAATGGTTTAGCTTGGAAAGAACCTTAAGATGATCCAGTTCCGACCCCCTGCCACTAGTAGGGACACCTCACACTAGACAATGTTGCTTCAACCTGGCCTTGAACAGATCCTTTTCCTGTCCAAATCCCAGAGACTTTCAGACAGCAAACACAGATCCCACCCTGGAGAACAAACCACTGTGCAATAACATCAGGGTCAAGGGAGCAGCACCCACGTCACCACATCCAGCACCATGGGATCCTCTTTCCCAACAGCGAGCTCCGGCTTCGCCTCCGCCGCGGCTCACACGATATCCCTGAGAAAAGAAACAGAGCTGGAACTCCCCTGAGAAAGGCATGAGCCAACAGGAACAGAAGCCAGGGTAGAGCAACACAGCCCACAGCCTTCCCTCTGTCCCATAAAACCTTCCTGCAACTGTGGAAATCTACAGCAAGGAAAAGAACAGCACCTCTGCTCCATCACTGATGCCCAGATTTCACTGGCACCGTTTCCTTCCCTACTGAGGGCTGTGGCACACTCAGATACAGCAGCACAGTTGAGACCAGGATCCCCAGGGCCTGTGTTGTTTCCCTTCCTAACCAGAGGTGGTTTTAAGAATCCCAAATTTGGGCCAGATCTGCTGTTTGTGTAAATCATGCAAGCCCAGGGATGTCCCCAGAGGAACTGCATTTTATGCCAGCAGCAGATCTGGCTCAACTGCTAACCCAGCTCGGACATCCAACCATCCCAGGCCAGATTTGGGAGTATATTAAGGTTTTTATTACGTACAACAGCAACTCCCATCACTTTGTCTATTTTAGATTCAAACAGAGGAATTACCCACCTTTAAAATCACTGTCTAGACACAAGATGCTATACATGAACTAAACAAAACACTTTGAGGTCGCTTTAAAAGGCAACCTGCCTCCTCACAGATTCCTGAGCCTTTATGGAATTTAGTTAATTCTTTTTAACTGCTCACAAAGCTACTTTTAAGCAAGTTCATGTCCAGCTCATGGCCTGGGATCTCTCATGTTAGACAGGTTGCATTAAATTGGGTCTGCTCACAAGAAGAATGTGGAGTTTGCAGCCCAGATGTTGCAGACACGAACACATCCAAGTCATCTCATTAGTCCGGTGGGATTATCCATCTGCTGCAGCAGCTACTTTTGGCCCACTTATTTAAACAGGAATAAAAAAGCAGGGATGCAATTCAAGCAAATTAAAACCCATGTGCACCACAAGGATCAGAAGTTAGCTCTGGGAAGAATGAGCTACAAGTTAGGGTTAGGGTTAATACCAACAGCATTAGATATAACTGTCCATGTCCCTGTCAATGCTGCACAGCAGCAGGCACATGAAGAGTTAAGCCAATTCAAAGAAAACATCTAAGGAATTCTTAAATGAGAACACACATCCCTGCTTCCCACCCACCTCCCAGAATGAGCTCTTCTTCTGGTGAGAAAAATCCAACAGCTTTAATACCACTCTTTTCTCCTGCAGGGTGGCTGTATGACTACACACAGACATATGTCTGCTCTTTCCTCTTTGCTGGAGCCTGTGCTCTCATCTCACCTATTTCTTTCTTCTTTGAGCCTTCGGCCCAGAAATGGAAGCTAAAAAAAGCCAACCTGAACAACAGCCCTGGGCGTGGATGAGATGATTCTGTGGTGGGCATTTTAAAGCATAGAATGGTTTGGGTTGGAAGGGACCCGGAAGATCACCTAGTTCCAACCCCCCTGCCATGGATGGTCTTTGGTGGCATCCACGGTGGGAAAGCGATTGCCAGGACAGACCTTCTGGTCCAGGAAGTACAAACAGCAGCAAAAATAAGAATTTTAGGATGACAGATTCACAGTTTGTATATCCAGGTATTCCTCCTGCACTTGTGATTAAAGCCATCCAACAAATACACAGTGTAAAGCATTATTTGATGGGAGAAAACAAGGCCAACAGCCCAGACGGACACAGGCTTCACTTGGACTTTGCTCCTGAGCCACGTCTTTCTGTATCTTAGGTTTAATCCTGCTGTGTTCAGCCTGACAGCTCAGTTCCAGAGCTGCAGAGCCACCCCTCCAGCTCTCCCAGCCACCACGAGAGAGCAAAGCTGACTCACCTCTCGGGATGAGGACCTCAAAATGCCAAAACCAGCAGGAGATTTTAGCTCTTTCTATTCACATACGAATGATTAGCAAGGACAGAGATAGGGATTAAACTTCCACCAGGATATGGAGAACAGTCATTCCACAAATCCCTCTTTCTGTGAGAAGGATGCTGCACCGTGGCCACTCACTCTCCAAGGCACCGTGTTATTTGCCACCTGGAAGCAAAACCAGTTCTAATTAAAGCCAGCACCACAATACGACAAACTTAAATGTCACATCCATCTCTCAGACCCCTCACCCCTCCTCCCCACCCTCCCAGTCATCCAGCAATTCCCTGGGATTCAATGAACACACAAAAGCAGCTTCCAGAACCAGGCAGCAACACTGAGCCTATATTCAACCAGCACCCTAGAGGTTTACTTCAGATGGGTAAGATGTAACTAATCACTGCTTTGACTTTCTTTCCATTTGTGAGGTTGTGGTATTTTGCATTAACACCAGATATTGGATATTAATCTGGGATATCGAAAGGGTTTTATAGGATCATGAAATCAACCAGGTTGGAAAAGACTTTTAAGCTCAACCAGTCCAACCATTCCTAGCAGTGCCAAGGCCACCACCAACCCCTGGCACTGAGGTCTCGTCCACACGGGCTGTGAACACTTGCAGGGACAGTGACTCCAGCCCTGCCCTGGGCAGCCTGTTCCAATGCCTGAGCACCCTCTGGGCAAGGAATTGTTCCTCAGCTCCAGCTAAACCTGCCCTGGGGCAGCTTGAGGCCGGTTCCTCTTGTCCCATCCCTTGTTCCTTGGGAGCAGAGACCAGCCCCCTCCTGGCTCCATCCTCCTGTCAGGCAGTTGCAGAGAGCGATCAGGTCCCCCCTGAGCCTTCTCTTCTCCACACTAAACCCCCCAGGTCCCTCACTATCCCAGGCACTGGCATTACCCTTAAATACTAAAACACCAAGAGAGTTGTTCCCCTATAGAAACACTCCTTTAAACTGTCAAATGGGTTATTTCAAGCACCAAATTAAGTCGGCTATATTTAATAAAAAGCTACAGAACATTATAGGGGTATTAAGGAGCTAAACCATTGCCGCAGGCAGGAAGGTTTCCTCACTGACTGGCTGAAATGAGAAGTTACAAAACTACACAAGGGTGCTCAAATGAGGGGAAAAAATAGCCTTAAATCAGCAGTACACGGGGAACATCAGTGCTACGAAGAGGTGAAGTTTTCACATGCTGCTTCACAGCTTCTCCCAACTCCTGCAGGAATCCACATGCAGCAAACACTTGGAAATTGTCCTTTTACACTTTAACCACTGCGTCAAACCCAGGACACAATTCAGTTGTACCTGTTAATATCCATAACCCACAACAGCAATCATCAAATTACAGACTGATTGGGTTGGAAGTTGCAACCTAAAAGCTCACCCAGTTCCAACCCCCTGCCACGGGCAGGGACACCTTCCACTAGAGCAGGTTGCTCCAAGCCCCTGTGTCCAACCTGGCCTTGAACACTGCCAGGGATCTCTAGTGGGTCATTTTTGGAGCAACCAGAGTTTAAGGATGAGAAGTGTTTAAGGCACTGGGAGTTTCAGAGGGGTGAGTGGGTACCATACATTATATGACTTAAGCCTGCACTAAGCCTTCAGCTGAGACTGAAGCCGGGAGGAAGCTTCCATTTTCACCACATGGAACATTATAGTTCATCACTCTCCTACTGAACAAACTAAAGACCAGCAGCTCCGGTTTGCTGCTGTAACAGACACTCAGGAACACTTGGCTTCATGTTTTCCAATCCAAAAACTTAAACTCCCTCTCATTCTGCATCTCTCTAACATATTTGAATTCAATAGTGGGGTTTGCTATTCATAATGAGACCCACTGACTAAAGCAACATGGGGACGAAGAAGAGCCAACACACCACATCCTTACCCTGCTGCTCTTGCTCTATATGATTCATAGCACCTATCCCTGTGTTCTAATCTCTTCCTCTCCCTGTAAATAAAGCCACTCTGCTCAATACCAGCCTCCTTTCAACACAAGTTCTGTTACATTTTCACCTCTTTTGCCACCAAGGAATGACTAGCAGCGGGATGTGGTGTCTGCAGCTCCCATCCCATCTGCTCCAACAAATGAGCTCCCTTCAAAACCTCTGGGTTCTTAAGGAGGAGAGTCCTGTCCCTGACTTCCCCAGACTAACACATGCCACCAATTCCTTACCCTTAGTGAGAAAGATGGGCCTCCCAAATGCTTTTACCCTTCTTTTTCCTTCTGAAAGGGTCAAAGAACTCAGAAACTCCCATTTCCCACAGCATCTTATCCCACAGATGGGCACCACTGGCCTTTACCTTCCAAAAACATAACTCTGCAGAGACAAAGGACCTCTCTCTAGCCCTGATTAACTCTTATCTATTAAAAGAGGTTGAGGAAACCAGTCCCTGTAAAGAGAAACTCCTCCCAGCTGCCCTGCACAGTCCTACCATCATGCTGGGAGGTGGGAGAAGAGTCTTGGAGCCTTTGTCTTTGCAAGAGAGCAGGCTCAGGATAACATCTGGTGGTCGGATACGCTTCTCTCCTCTCACACCTTTTGCTGAGAAGGGAAGCATAGAAGAGATGCTTTGGTTCTCCTCGCAGCTCAAAACTAAAGGCACTTATTTACTTGCAAAATACATGCAACACACACATTAGAGAAACAAACAGCAATGACGACGGGAATATCTGCCTGGAGGAAGATTTTTCCATCCCATTGAAGTCATCTTGCAAATAACTTCATAAAGCCAGGTTTGCATAGTAAAGAGCATCACATGCTGCTTGACTAAATGCAAAACTGCTACGACACAAGCAAGTTTAAAAGCTGTCAACTCTCAGGTTCACTTGGCAAATCCCCTTCACGCCTGCTCCCTTACTCAGCTGCAGGATACAGGGTAGAGAAATGAGCAGCAATGGCTTAATATGATCTTCAGCATGAAACATGCTTTGTTTGAATCAGAATCATGGAATGGTTTGTGTCAGAAGGGACCTTAAAGCTCATCCAGTTCCAACCCCCTTGTAGAACTAATGACAACCTCAGCACTCCGTCTTGACTCACTCGGTGTAACGCTTCCCAGCCCCAAGCTCTTCTTTTGCTCCAGCAGGCTGCCTGCACTTGCACTGTGGGAAGAAACCAGGTTTGGAAGCATTTGAACACAGATTTGTGGGTTTAAAAACCTAAAATTCATGCCAGGAAGATGGTGGAAGGAAACTGAGCGTTGAAGTTCTCTCCAGAAGATACAGTGATACACAGGGTACCAGAGCTTGCTGATGAAGCATCTGAGTGACAAAAGGCTTTTACAAGAAGCTCAAGGAAACAGCCTCCAATTTTCACTGTATCCCAACAGAAACCTGCCACAACACCCCAAGTTGATGGACAAGGGACTGTTGCCCTGAGTCCTTACTCATTTTAGCACTACAAGATTAAGAAAGCAAGAAGAAATCATGGAATTGACTCTCTAAGACATCACAGCACACGCTGGTGCTGTTAAGGAGTAAGTTACTCCTGGGTTTGTTTCATCCAAACAACTCTGCTGCAAGGCTACAATCCTCCTTTGGAGTTACAGGGAGGGGAAATGCTTTTCCATCATCACTCAGGGCTTTATTCCAGGGTATAATCCTGTGAGGCAGCTCCGGGAGCTAGAGCTGTAGCCAGAAAGGAAGTAACACAAGAGCACTGGGACTCCGCTGCCCTCTCAGCCCTGTCCTGGTCACCCTCCATCACCCACCAGGTATTTGGGCAGCACTGATTTAGAGGTAGGCAACTGCATGATCTTAATCTTCAACCGATTCCACATAAACCAGCATAGAGAGCTGCTAAGTCTCAGCCCAGGCCTCTCAAAGCTATGGAAGCTGGTGCAACCAGAGGTCATGCAGAGAAGCATGCTGCCTAAGTCCTTAACTCACACTGGAATTCTTCTATATTCTTATTTTATACAGTCACCATACACCTTGGAGGGCCCTGGCTACAAGCTGCAGGTTCCCTTCCTCACTGTGTGTGAGCAAACCTGCTCTGGGTCAGTGAATGTCAGGGTTGAGCTTTAAGACATGGATTGAGCCATTCCTCAGGACACAAAATAAACCTCTCCCTGCCTCATGCTCTCTTTGTCAGCCTCTCTCCTTGACAATAACCTACTAGTAACCAAGGCCAGGGCTTCCCCACCGCTCCTCTCTGATAAACCCAGGCACTAAACACAGAGTTGATCCTAAAGTTTATCACATAATAAGTGACAACCTTTATCTCACAATAGCATCCCCTCCAAGGGCTGGGCTGGAATCCTTGCTGTCGTTTCTCCACCATGCAGGAGCTCTGGATGTTGAGGATCTATGTGATATTCAAATGATAGGAGCTTGGACAGCTGACCAGGAACCACGCAGCTGCCCCAAGGCCTGAGGCCAGGGTGAGGGGCAAGAAGTTTGAGGATTAACCCATCCCATTGCCCTGCTCTCAGCACCTCGGTTGCTTTATGCACAAAACCACTGCAAGACTTCTTGCCTACGGTGGTATTAGAGAAACAG